AAAAAAAAAAAAAAGGGGCCGGGAAAAAAAGCCAAAAAAAAAAAAAAAAAAAAAAAAAAAAAAAAAAAAAAAAAAAAAAAGATTAACACTCAGAGCCCCTAGCCTGGCAGCAGTCTGTAAACTCGTCTTGGAAAGAGTTTACAGTTGGGAAGCACTGAGCCAACTGGTGAGGCGGGACATTGCACGCTTCTCTGTTTATAGTAACAGCTGTGACTTTTTGTCTTCAGTTTTCTAAGACAATGCAATATGATAAAATGACAAGCTCTGCAACAGAAAAATCTGATAGAAATCAAGTCCCATCTGTGCGGAGCATGCGTGAAATCAGTTTCTTGACCTGAGCGCTGGTCAGTGCGGGAGACCCTTGATCACCGCTGAGACAGGCCTGTGGATGGACGGTCAGCTGGAGGCTTTGCTTAAGACGAGTAGCGCCCGCCATCCCTGGTGAGTTGTTTTGCCGGCTTCGTCTACTTCATGATACAAAAGTAAAAGCGTTCTTGCAGATGTGCTTTTTAAAATAAAAATAGCAAAATGTTTTTAGAACAGTAAAAGCTTTCTAAATCTTGTGATGGAACATCTTACCTGCCCCTCATGACTGCCACGGGCACACTAGACAGCCAGCATTAAATTACCCAACCTTAAATTAACGGTTAGGAGAGTTCCACGTCTAGTAAGTAGCTCCTACTGGAATAATCCTGCCACAAGTTAGAACCACTCTGGACAGAATACTTTTAAAAATCTGAGAACACTGGAGCATGAACCACAGCAGGAGGACTCTGGAGGGGCGTGGGCCCTGGAAGAGGACAACCGGGAGGTTTCCCGTTCTTACGGCCTTTAGGTCAGGGCAGGCCCCACAGGGCAGCTACAGCTCTGTTAGAAAACCTGCAGCCTCACCAGCTTGAAGAACCAGAGGCCAGAGTTTGGGACCAACAGCCTCTGGAAAGTGAGATGGAAAATTCTAGAAAAGAGAGCCCCAAGTTATGTGTGTGAAACCCCTACAAATTGCTGGCTGAACCACCAGACTCCAAACAGCCCAGCCAAGCCTCAAAGAACTGACTTCTCTGAGGAGGAACTTCTGGATGGTGGTGTGCACCACCATCAGCCCAGGTCAGCTGGGCTCAGCTGACCCTCTGCCCAGTGAAACAACCCTTTAGCTGGGGAAACTGTATACAAACTAAATAGCGTAAAGTCTCTGAAAATGTTCCTAGAGGCATACAGCACATGGTGAAACATTCATTCAGGAAACTCAACTGCATGTTAACGAGACCAGTGAAGTCTGTAGCATTTGAGCCCCAGCTGACCCCACCCTACCCCCACTCCCCAGTGTCACGTGACAGAAGCTCTGGTCCAGGTCGGTGCTGCCCAGAAGGGAAGGGCTCCTATGGTTGAGGGCTCTGCCCCAGGGGTGATAGGCTGAGAATTCCAGGGCTCCAACCTCTTATGCGGTGGAGGTTCCACATCCAGAGGGGCAGTCTGAGAAGACCAGGGGCTACCAGTCCCCGCACCCCCACTTCCCCAGCACCTACCTGGGAGAAGGAGTGTTAACTCTAGGAGAAGCCAACACTGTCCAGCCCCAGGGGGGAGGCAGGCTCTGTGAACTGGTAGCTCTGTGAACCTCTGCAGGAGGGCACTATTTCGTACCAAGAATGGAGAAATCTGCCGGAGGGGACTGTCAAAAACAACAGAGATCTTGGTGGCAAGCAGTCAAGAGGAGGCTGGTGGCTCCATGATACGAATAGCAAAAAGCAAAATGGCAGGCAGGTCTCAAGTTTAACTGAAAGAATTGGGGAAAGAGGTGAGAAGAGCTGTCCTGGGATCCCACTTAGGCCAGGAGACTGTGGGCATGGACTGGGCTGCACCCACCCACTCAAGAGTAGTCAGAGTGGGACGTGAACAGACTTGAAAGCATTCTCCAAGCCACACCAGCTCCTCAGCAAAGAGCAGAGGTCTTAACTAGCTCAAGGTGCTTACACAGATCCTCCAACCAAACACTGCTGAACGTGTGTTATAAACACATTCAAAGAGGGACTTCCCTGGAGGCACAGTGGTTAAGAATCCGCCTGCTGATGCAGGGGACACAGGTTCGATCCCTGGTCCAGGAAGATCCCACATGCTGCAGAGTAATCCTGTGTGCCACAACTACTGAGCCTGTGCTCTAGAGCCCAAGAGCCACAACTACTGAGCCCTCATGCCACAACGACGGAAGCCCGTGTGCCTAGAGCCTGTGCTCCACAACAAGAGAAGCCACCACAATGAGAAGCCCGCACACCACAATGAAGAGCAGCCCCTGCTCGCCGCAACTAGAGAAAGCCCTTGCACAGCAATGAAGACCCATCGCAGACAAAAAACCAAAAAAAACCAAAAAAAAAAACCAAAAAAACATGCTCAAAGAACTAAAGGAAACCACATTTACAGAATTGAAGGAATGTGCGTGAGAACAATCACTCATCCGACAGGGAATAACCAAAAAGGAATAAACATGATAAAAAAGAATCAAGTGGAGGGCTTCCCTGGTGGCGCAGTGGTTGAGAATCCGCCTGCCGATGCAGGGGACACGGGTTCGCACCCCGGTCCGGGAAGATCCCACATGCCGCAGAGCGGCTGGGCCCGTGAGCCATGGCCGCTGAGCCTGCGTGTCCAGAGTCTGTGCTCCGCAACGGGAGAGGCCACAACAGCGAGAGGCCCGTGTACCGCAAAAAAAAAAAAAAAAAAAAAAAAAGAATCAAGTGGAAATTCTGTAGTGGAAAAGTATATTAGCCAGAATGAAGAAATTCACTAGAGGGGTCAATAGTAGATTTGAGTTGGGAGAAGATAAAAAAATCAGTGAACTTCA